ATAAGTAAAAGGGGAATAGATAATAAGGCAAAACAAATATAATACTTTGAATATTAGAAAAGAAAAGTACTTACTTAAGCACTTGAGCAACAGTATTTGGACCAAACCATTGTCCAATTGGCTTCCCCTCAGATATACCCATCAGAGCTGTAAATAATCCACAAAAGTAATACATTATAAAGATATATATAAGGCAGATGAATGTGGTTAAAGATGGATTATAAATTCTCACATATAGTTTGTATAGAATAAAGAGCAGACTTTCTATCCTCAAATAGCCTGAGAATCTTCCAGTAGGTAGCATTAGTTGGATCCAAATGCCATCTCCATCCTGAAATAGTTTTAAAATATATGTGAAATAGCGATGAAACTTGGTGAAAGTTCACTAGATTATTTATAGTTATAAATGTAAGGTAAGCTGTAAAAACGGAATCTAAACGGAATGAATATTGCAACTGCCGTGCCATTACCACACATGGAATATTTATCGATTATATGAACCATAATGGAAAATATCTATGATCTCGATTATATTTACCAGCGCCGAGGTGAATCCGTTCCAGGCAGAAGGCAAGCATCATCTGGCCGCATCGATGCATACAGCCCCAGCCAGAATCAGATGTTGGACCAGTACGGCTTCCGATAGGTGAAAATCCCTTTCTATACGTCATCCATGGTAGAGACTGTATGTCCACACGAATTTTTTCCCGGTCTATAAATAGATAACATCATCCGTGGGATTGCATTACGTATCTAATCATAAATACAAGTAAGCTAAGCAGCTATACATAGATCTTACAGGAGTAAATTAAATAAAAATTAATTGTTCAAAAAGTACGAAGAAATATTTAAGACCAAAGCACCGTCTGGTGTGTAGTTTAACTAGATGACTGGAGCTAAAGACCATAAATGAAAAACTAAATAGACAAATGGATAAAAATTATCTATTAAAAATACACTTAGCAAAGAAATTAATTTAAAAAATAACCTCTTAATGAGCAATACTCCTGCCCGAGTATGTAAACTGCCGCTTTGGTATCAGGAAGGTATGGATGCTCCGGAGAAGATGAAGAGTATCGAAAAATTGCTATTATATAACAAAAAATGGTTAGCGTAAATCGTTAAAATATATGGTAATATTTTTGAGACTTACAATCCCAATAGACATCCATGAACAAAGCTAGGATAATGCAACCATAACTTTTTCTAGAGGTAGGAGAAGGCTGGAAGTACGCAGGATCAGAATAAGCTGTTTTAAACAAAGATAGTACAATGTAGTTACATAATTGCTCCTTACTCTAAATATGAACTTTTACTTATATAAATTATTATTTTAGCATTACAACATAGTAAGTTTGATAAAAATGAGACAAAAGCTAAACCTAGCTTTTGTATAAATTTATTTGCCGTTTTGTATAAGGAACGAATTCTACCGAAGAGATAGTACCTAATACATATCTTAAATACCCTTAATTTACGAAAGGTATTATATTTTAACATTTGATTCAAAGATGCAGAATTTTAGTCTGTTTTTGAAATTATAGATGT